TGGACTAATGTGGAACTGTGTTCACGTATACTTTTAAGTGAAAGAGCAAGGTGCAGAACAGTATGTACAGTCCATTAGCGTTCATTAAAAAGAAAGTGAAGACAGAATGAACACATAGATGCTTGATTATGCATGGAATATCTCTGGGAAGAGGAACAAGGAGCTTCTTGCCTCAGGAGGAACACTGGTTGGCTGGGACAGCGGCATGAGAAAGATTGACTCTTGGCTGCATATCCTTCTACACTTTTTGAATTTTGAATCGTATGAATGTGATATATGCATGTAAATAATCAGAATTTCAAATAAATTGGTTTTTTAATTGGGAAGTGTGAAGAGAGAGTTAGTTACTTGAGAGAAGATGACTTAGGGATGGAGGCCTTGGACCAGCTCCCGAGAGCTGCTTGGACATGTTGAGCTCAAGCTTTGGTTTTCAGGCCAAATATCGTTGAATTAATTACCTTTCTCTCCTCTAATTTTAAGAAAAGGCAGATATTATTAACTCACTGTTTTAATGCATCAGTTAATAAAATTCAACTGCCACCTGTTAGGTTCACGTGAACACTTCTGAGGGAGCCTAGCTTTCTCTCTCTCGTCTGCTATCTTGTTGTCAGGCTGGTGAATCCTGTAAGAAAAAAAGACGCCATTCCTGTGCTTGGAAACCACATTCTAGTTACGGAAGTAAATACATAAATTCAGGATTAAATGATATGATGAAGCCTATAATAGAGAGATAAACTGAGGGAATTAGTTCTGCCTGGGGGGAAGGGCTGGTCAAAGAGAACTCAGAAAAGGAGGTTACTTTGGCACTAGGCCTTGCAAGAGAAATCTAACAGAGAGCTTGGAAATGAGTATGTCAGACAGAGGGAGGGGTAAGAGCACAGGAGGAAGGTGTGCAAGTGTGATTCAAGGAGCAGCAAGTCCTCTCCCGGCCAGTAAGCTGTGTGTTTAAGTTTGGGTGGGAGTTGAGAGGCCAAAGTTAGATTTGAGGCTGTGCCAGGACCATTAACAGTTCTCCCAAACTGGCTATCTTCTGTGCCCCTCTGATCATGGGAAAACTTTCCAATGTAAATGGGGTTGTTTAGCAAATGTAAGTTTGCAAAGAGTGAAGTTGACTCAGGAGACAGCCCAATGGTGGGGTGCATAGGACATTTTCTGGAAGAGAAGACGATGTGGGAAAGGAGATGATAGACAGTTAGCTAAACAGGGACCTAAGGACACTTGAGAGTTAACAGTTGGAGCCAGGGTGAGGTTGGGGACTCAGGAGAGATTTTAGGTGAAAGAACCAGGAAGCACTAGGCAACCAGGTTGGCTGCTGGACTTCGGACTGTTATTCCTGCATCCTTTACTTCTATCCTCAACAACTCCCTATGTCCCTGGACGCTGCCTGACTTCGTTCAAATTAACAGACTCCCTGTGCTGTGTCTCTGTGTGGTCTGTACACTAGTACTCCTGCCTGTGGTCAGGTGGTTCCAGCTCCCGTGTGCCTGGTTCTAGGACAGTGCAGTGAGGGTGAGCAGAACCCGTTCAAAGCCTGGACTAAGGAAGAAGGTGTAATTACCTGAGTGATGACAGAAGTTACCCATGGAGGATTTGGGGTCCTCGGCTTGGTGGTGCCTCCATATTGTCCTTACAGGCTACACTGATCATGTGAGAGGGCTACAGGGAGGGGCTGGAGGAGCTAAGGGAGCCCTCCTGAAAGACCCGTCACACCTGTCTGATTACCACCTGCAAAACATTGCCCGTGTTCTTGTTTGCTTCTCTGCAGCCAAAGTTGCCCAAGTCATCTGGCTCATTCCATGAGTATTTAGCGTAGGTAATCGTTACATAGGCAGCTTTCATGGTGAGAGGAGGGCAAAAGGGGTAAAGGAGCACTTATGTATGGTGACAGATGGAAACCAGACTGGGTGGTGAACACGATGCAGTCTAGACAGAAGCAGAAATATAATGATGTACACCTGAAATTTACACAGTGCTATAAACCAATGTGACTTCAATAAAATAAGGGAAAAAAGGTCAATAACCTCACCTATACAGAGCATTTTTCTAGCGCAAATGGGTTGGGCAGCTATTTAAGCTGGATATTTTGATTCAAGTTTCATGCTTATTTATTTCCCATTATAATTAGGAGCACCCCTCCCTCACCTTGGATAGGAAAGGACCTTTTTTTCTATTTTGAAATACATATATTCAATCAACCAACTTTTTTAGGGCCCCCTTCCATTTGTCAGGCATTATGCTAAATGCTATGAATAAATACTAAGATAGATAAAGTCCTTCCCTCAGAGAGCTTACACTCCAGTGGGTGGGAGGAAGGGGCAGAACAGATCCAAACACAGAGAAATTAGAAAATTTAGTAAGCGCCACAATAGAACTCTATTTGGATATTCTGGGAACTCCAAAGAGGGCCCTTCATCTGCACATGGGAGCAGGGGAGTTACAGGAGGTAGTGTTGACCATGCAGAGGGAGAGGAAGGGGTCTGGGTGGAAGAGCGTTAGGAATAGTGGGAGCAAAAGCACTGAGTGGAAGAGCAGTGGATTTGGGGTTTTGGTGGTTCGTGGAGCTGCATCTGGTCCAGCCCAAGTGGTAAGGCCAGGGGCGGTGAGAGGAGGATTGGAGAGAGAGCCCAGGGTCCACCACCCTGGGAAGCCGTTAGCAGACGTCTTCCTGCAGGGGTAGAGGTGGAAGTGGAGAGCTTTCTGCTCAGGGAGATCAGCAGGTAGAGAACTCTGGGACAAGCGAGCGAGGGTCAGATCCGAAAGGGGCTCAGCTGGGCAAAAGAGAAGAGCTGCACGTGGTGAGGCTGCAGAGCATGGGCCTGAAGGGGAAACCCCCTGCACAAATTCGAACTTGGTCTTTGGGGTAAAGAAGTTGAAATGGGGGAGTCACACACTCAGGTCTTTCATGGAGGCCACTGCCGCCACTGTTTGGCAAGTGATCAAAGGGGCTGGGTCCAGAGAAAGGCAGGAAAACTGTGAGGCGGTGCTCTAGTTCTGGTGAGCAGTGATGGTGGCCTGGACTTAGGGGTGGCAGAGTGTGGAAGGGTGGGCCACATTTAACACATTGTGCCTGTTCCAAATTACTAACAAACAGAACAAAAACGCATCGTGACACTTAAGGTATTACTTTTAAATTGTTTTCTTTGCCTCCGTGTCCTGTCTCCACCCACACTAATCCTACATACTCTTGGCATAAGCATCTTTCCCTTGGGGAAGCCTCCTTCAACCCCCTAGACTGGCTGCTCCCACAGCATCCTGTATGTCCTCAGTCATAGCTGTCATCATGCTTTCTCATAATTACAGCGTCAGCTGCCTGTCTCCTCTGCTACGCTGTACTTCATGTGATCAGGGACTCTTTCTATTTTTTATTTGCTCACACATCTGCCTTTATTGTGAGCAGCAGGTAGGACACTTCCACCAATAGTGAAAAATTAATTTACAGAAGCAGGGATCCAGTGCGGCCCCTGCTTGGAACCCTTGGGAGCTCATATGTCGATGCTGACCCAGAGCAGCAAGAAGAGGACTCCAAAGCCGGTGAAGAGCAAGGCCACCAAAGAGGTGAAGAGCTCCTTGTAGATATCTGAGTGTCCGTGGTGGAGGTGACCCTATAAACGAAGGACCAGGCAGTGAAGAACTTGCTAGCGGCCAGCAGCACCACAGTCAGACGGGGGAAGACAGCTTGTTCGCTGGGCTGGCGTGTCTGCTCATGGCCTTGGGCACCATTTTGCCAGGCTCAGGGTAATCCACTGCTCTGCCACCAGAAGAAGGACTCTTTCTGGATGCTCTTGTGTTCCCAGTGCCTAGTGCAGTGCCTGGCACATAGTGGGTGCTCCATAATTTGCTGAATGGATGAGTAAATGAATTATTAATTCAGACAGGTAGAATCTCTGCATTTTCACAGGAGGACTCAGAACTTTATAGCTTGTTCCAGGATAATGACTATCTTTTCTTCCCCCGAGTATAGTGTGATATGTTTAGGAACAGCAAAAAGATAATTGGTAAATAAAATATTGGTTTTATGATTATTTTAATTATTATAGATATCATTCAGCACTTCTATTTTTTATGAGTGAAAGAGCATAATAGTCACATTTTGAACAAACACTTATAAACAGTCAAATCAATTCTCTGCCTGTTTTCTTCGAAACAAAACCAAATTGCTTAGCTTGGAATTGAAGAGCCCTTAACATCTGGCCCCCTCCTCTCCGTGGTCCTTATTTCCGTCCACGTGTAAAGCCTCGGATGCTCAGGCCTGTCTCCTGTTTTCAGCGTGTTGTGTCGCTGCACAGCCGGCGGGGGGCGCTGTCAGGCAGCGCTGTCCGTCATCACTCCTTCCCAGGGTTAAAGAGCCTGGTCTGCTCTGGAGCCTCAGTGCAAGGTGGCCCTTCATGACATTTTTCTTCGTTCGTGTAGACAATTTAGAAGTGCCTCTGAGCCTCGGCTCAGTCCAAACGTCTCCCCTGGGTGAGGAGACTTGCCTGATGGAGTCGGAACTAGACCCCGGATCTTCCGCCGTCGTCGGGCGCTTCTTCTGGTTCCCGGCAGTCTCTTCCTCCGCCTTTCCACTTAACGCAGCTCATGCCCGATTCTGCGCTGTCTTGTCCTTTGGTTGTCTTGTACGTTGTCTTACTTGTGTGACAAGGTGATCAAAGTCTTCAAGAGCAGAGATTGTGTGACACGTTGTTGCTCTCCCCTATTCCTACCAGCGTTAGGACACTGTGTGTATGTGATAGTCACACAGTGACTTAAATCTGCGCAGAAAGCTTAAAAGAAGGAACATATGTTTCTAGTGTATCCAAATACATCACCAGCTTTGGGTGGCTTTTCTCTAACTAAGTGCCTGACTCATTTTGTTGATTGAATCTGATTTTACCTATGTTCAGAGTGGAGAATGAAATAACACGATGGTACATGTTTGGGATGTTTACAGGAGAGTTTTTTTTTTATGTATATACTCTCCTGGTTTTCTCACCATTCAGCTTGTTTGTTTTCCCTCCCATTAGGATTCCCTGTTGCGGGTCTCTTCCTCAGTCGTTTGGAGTTTGGCCTAATCGAAGACGGAGGTTATGAAGTCGATCCTAGATGGCCTTGCAGACACCACCTTCCGCACCATCACCACAGACCTGCTCTATGTGGGCTCAAATGACATTCAGTACGAAGATATCAAAGGCGACATGGCGTCCAAATTAGGGTACTTCCCACAGAAGTTTCCTTTAACTTCCTTTAGAGGAAGTCCCTTCCAAGAGAAGATGACTGCGGGAGACAGCCCCCAGTTGGTGCCAGCAGACCAGGTGAACATCACCGAATTTTACAACAAGTCCCTTTCGTCCTACAAGGAGAATGAGGAGAACATTCAGTGTGGGGAGAACTTCATGGACATGGAGTGCTTCATGATTCTGAACCCCAGCCAGCAGCTGGCCATCGCCGTGCTGTCTCTCACACTGGGCACCTTCACAGTCCTGGAGAACCTGTTGGTGCTCTGCGTCATCCTCCACTCCCGCAGCCTCCGCTGCAGGCCTTCCTACCACTTCATCGGCAGCCTGGCGGTGGCCGACCTCCTGGGGAGTGTCATTTTTGTCTACAGCTTCGTGGATTTCCACGTGTTCCACCGCAAAGATAGCCCCAATGTGTTTCTGTTCAAACTGGGCGGGGTCACAGCCTCCTTTACTGCCTCAGTAGGCAGCCTGTTCCTCACAGCCATCGACAGGTACATATCTATTCACAGGCCCCTGGCCTATAAGAGGATCGTCACCAGGCCTAAGGCCGTCGTGGCATTTTGCCTGATGTGGACCATCGCAATTGTGATTGCTGTGCTGCCTCTCCTGGGCTGGAACTGCAAGAAACTGCAATCCGTTTGCTCAGACATTTTCCCACTCATTGATGAAACCTACCTGATGTTCTGGATTGGGGTCACCAGCGTGCTGCTGCTGTTTATCGTGTATGCGTACATGTACATTCTCTGGAAGGCTCACAGCCACGCAGTCCGCATGATTCAGCGTGGCACCCAGAAGAGCATCATCATCCACACATCAGAGGATGGCAAGGTCCAGGTGACGCGGCCCGACCAAGCCCGCATGGACATTAGGCTGGCCAAGACCCTGGTCCTGATCCTTGTGGTTTTAATTATCTGCTGGGGCCCTCTGCTTGCGATCATGGTGTATGATGTCTTTGGGAAGATGAACAAGCTCATTAAGACGGTGTTTGCATTCTGCAGCATGCTCTGCCTGCTGAATTCCACCGTGAACCCCATCATCTATGCCCTGAGGAGCAAGGACCTGAGACATGCTTTCCGGAGTATGTTCCCCTCATGTGAAGGCACTGCGCAGCCGCTCGATAACAGCATGGGGGACTCTGACTGCCTCCACAAACACGCCAACAACACAGCCAGCATGCACAGGGCTGCGGAGAGCTGCATCAAGAGCACGGTCAAGATTGCCAAGGTGACCATGTCTGTGTCCACAGACACGTCTGCTGAGGCTCTGTGAGCCTGACGCCTCCCTGGCAGCACAAGAAAAGAAATTCACTTTTTTTTTTTTAAGCTCAAAATCTAGAAGAGTCTGTCGTCTCATCGGTTATATTTTTTTAAGTTTACCATGCTTGGTGAAAAGGTGATTGTCACCATGATCAGTTGTCAGTTCTTTAACGTTTCAATAGTGTAGGTACTCAATCTCGGTTCTCCAGGGGTTTACTGTGAAGAAAGCCTATTGCTTAAGTGACTGGAACGTTCTTCAAAGTCTCAATGAAATAGGAGAGAAACCTTTGGCTATACAATTTGAAGTCTAAGTACCCATAGAAAAATGCCATCAAATGCGTATTGCCTTTGTAACCACAACTTTCATTATAATGTGAAATGTGTTTGTCCGTAAGTATCAGAGATGTCCATTTTTACAACAGTTATAGTACGAAAGTAGAACTATTTTGTAAAATGTGTTGTGTCCTGTAAGATGTGTATCAGTGTTTACTATGTGTTATTTATATTTGTCTAGTTCAGCAAAACTGAAGGGTAGACTTTTATGAGAATAATGGAACACAAGCAGTGGATATATGCCAATGAGACCACTTTTTAAAAAATTATTGCCCATGATATAACTTTAGAAACCTTAATATTTTTTCAACTATCTCTATTTAAATTTGACACTGAAATAATCATAAAGGTTTATTTTTCTGTTAATACAACAAGAAGAATTTGAAGACTCTCCAAAGTATTGAGAATTCATTAACACAAAAATTTGTTAGCGCTGCATTTTCATACAAGGACATTTATTATCTTCTGGATGATAGCTGTTCTGTTGAGTGATGGATTACAATCCGATCTGAAGAGAGAAGGCATATTGACTTTTTTGGCTGATATCTCTGACTTTCTTTAGTATTTAGCTATTACTGGATCTCTTAAGACAGCATGTGTCAATCTTAATGTATATTATTATCACTGTGCAATTGCTGTTTACTTGAAGAGTATTGCATTCTTGTATTCCAGGTTCAAGTAGATTTCATGCCTGGGTGGCCAAGCAACAGTCTTCATTTTTTCTTAATTGAGAAGTGTTGTCTGGATCAGTAAAATTATACTGTGTGTGAGTGTGAATATAAATGTGTGTATGTGTGTGTTTCTATCCTGTAACTGTTACAGTAATGTCATAAAGTGAGAAAACTGTGACCAAGTATGAACTGTACCACTCGCTGCACTCGAGCAATTGAATTCAGTTTCTAAAATTGACTTCTTCCAGAAATCCTGTTGATAAAAATATTGACCGTAAACATTCAGAACCTTCCCTCTTAAGAGATTGGGTCATGTATTCCTAAACCGACTTTGAGGCATTCCCTGAGACCAGTGTTTAGCAAGGAATAATCAATGACAAACATTCAAGTGAAAGTCTGTATTTACAGTGTTAATGTCGGGAAATGAGAGCGTTTGTTTTCTGAGCACCAGTATGGATCAAGTCCGCGGCGATTTGAGTCATTATAGGGGAAGTGGTTCTAAAAGACCCCCAATGGTAACATCTTTTGATCACGTGTGTAGGCAGTGTGATCCCAGTTTAAGCAGCAGTGTACACCACTTGCTGAAGTAGGACCAACAGGTCTGGCCTTGTGGCTAAGGAGGGCCACCCGGCCGCGGGCGAGACAGAAAAGGGCAGTGAGGAGCCAGCACACTCGTGAGTGAGGCCTGGATGACACAGGGCTGCTTCTGTGTTTTGCCCACATGTCACCGGTGACAGTCCAGCACCTGCTTTGTCTGGGGAGGTTCAGGTCAGGAATAGACCTCTCCTCTCCTGGTTTGCAAGATGTGCTAACGTGCAAAGATGAGCCCGGCTTGCTTTCTTCCTACACCCCAGTCTCATACTCCTCAGTGGTGCCACAGGGGCTCAGAATTAGGGACTTTCCCAGGAAACTCAACGCTGACAAATTTTACTTACAAACAACCTACTCCTTATCCAGATAAAGCATGGCACCTGCGGGACCTGCGGGCCTAGGACCGTGAAGTGAAGTGGAGCGCGGGCGTTTCTCTGGTGATTTCTAGCTATCTACATACCTGAGAAGCCTAATGGGCAGAGTCTTTTCTTGCAGCATATGGTCTAAGGCTGAGTGTGGCCTGTGGACCAAGCTGGAATACTTTTAATTGTCTGTCTCTACAGCTGGAATCTGCCTGCTGGTTCCCTTACTGTACCTCTCTGTGATATGCAGATGGGGACTCAGGGTGCTAGGGGATTCATAAGATCTCTTTAGAAAGAGAAAAGATTATGGGAAAACTCAACAGCGTCTAGCTTCCATTTAAGAATTGTCCCTCTTTTGTCCTGCATCATTCTGAGTACTAGTCCACATGTCTCAAAACTCGTCTGGCAGTACCAGCTCTCTTCTTACAGCTGTGAAAAGCTGGTGAGGATGAAATTCCTGTTATTGGTAGAAAAATTCCAGGGTTCGTTTTTGAAACTGTATTTGTGTGTATGCAATGTAGATTTTATAGTGTATTGTGCTTTCAAGATCTAAATCAAATATAATAAATTAAGGGACAATGGGGCTGACAGCACTAACTTGGTGCTTATTGATATTTTAAGAAATATCTGTGAAGTATCATCATTGATGTATTATACCACTTCATTTTAAAACACTTAAATTACTTTGATTCACTTTGACGCTTTTAATATCATTTCCTAACCCAAGTGACTCAAATGTTCTCCCCAATGAATATACTCATTAGAATCATTAGTATCATTCATTAATTAGTCCACTTACTAGACCCATTAATTTAAATATATTTAGATTTCAGTAAGTTTTATAAGGTCCAACTTCAGAGTTATCTACTTTCCTCTGAGGGTAACCTGTTTGTCCTGACCATGCTTTTCGCCATCACATATGTCTTCAGAAAGGGCCAAATTCCCAACCTGCTCAATTTCTTCAGAGTATTGATGAATCTTTCGTCCTAGACCAAGTTTCGTTTAGACAAAGAGGGCTGTCTCCAAGAACCTCTAATTTTCCATCGTATGTGAAATATATGTTAGAGAAGCATGGACCTGGGAGAAGCTGCAGACTTATGCCTACATTTGAGATCATTCCCAGTCCTCCCCATCACTTCGAGTCTGGTTTATCTGGCATTAGGTGTCAAGGAATTCTGTCCACCTTAAACCCATGCTGTGGAAATAGGCCCAACCATGAGATGAGATGAGAATTAGGCCCTGGATGACTAGCATTCTAGTTACTGTCTTGTTGATTAATTTCTGCCATTCCATGTCTGTGAAAGAGACCACCAATATCATGCGCAAAATTAGATTTCTCACAATCTAACTGTATATTTGTATGATATCTTAAAATCTCCTAAATGCTGGGCAATGGCTATTAACAATTGTTTTGCACTGGCCTTCTGATGAAATGTTAACAATGCCTATTGTAACATAGACAAAACATTTTATCTACTGATTTGGGCTGAATGTATGTAAATAGGTTTTAAAAAAGTCAGATATTTAAGCGGTGGCCTACAAATCAGTAATTATCAGATAGGAGAGTTTCTTCACATTGCTGTGGCATCCTGAAAGTTATCTTCACATAAACTTGGTGTACCAGGCCTGCTGGGGATCAGAGTCCCCATGAAAGGAAAACTTTTCTTGTGATAATATGAATCAAGATACCAGATTATCTGGATTCTTGTTTCCGACGTTTCAAGTGGAAAACATAGCTCTTTATTGTCTGTAAATCTAACATTATTACTTTTCCTCTTAGCAAAATATTGTATTGTTAGATGTTTGTTGAGCTGGTAACATCCTTGCAACCGCTGCACTATCTTTGTTAGTAATCTGTATAATACTTTGTACACAAGTACTAGTAAGGTTGTTATTCACTGTAGCTTCAGTCATTGAATTACTATAGCAAAGTAGGACTTCTGTGATATTTACAATGTATTAAGCCCACACTATATTTTATTTCAATGATGTAATTAAATTGTTATTTATTCAAAAAGCAAACATCCCATCATGTCTATTGTCCTAAGTTACCTGGAATCAAATAAAAATTCTAGATTATCAAGAAGAACATAAGATGCCTTTGGATTCTGCCTTATTTCACAGTCTGCTGTTAAAACACTAGGGACTTAAGTTCTAAAAGATTGTTGAAGAAGTGATTTGTTCCCCAAAAGCACTTGTGACTTTAGTTGAGAAATGGGGCAAATTGGATTAATATATTCATTTTCAACAAAGGAAAAACATGTGAAAAGCCATCATTTACATAATAAAGGAAAAAAGCCTATCATACCTTTTTAAAACATTATTTCACCAAAGAACTTAGTGATTTTGCAGTAAATGAAAATAAATGTACAATTCACAATATGTAAATTAAATTGGAACTTAGCAGATTTAATAGAACATATAAAAACTAAAGAATTTATAAACATCATATATTCTGAACCAGGTGAAAGAGACAATTACTTTTCAACATAACTTGTAAAAACTCACGTGATTTTTATTTGAACCATAAGGAAAACAGTTTATCAAATTTATAATGAAGTAAAGAAAAACATTATAATTACTTTTACCATTATTACTGTCTGAAATAAAGTATGTTTGCAGTCAATTTTGAAAGAAGGCTTTAAATTTTTTAAATGATGAATTGGCAAATGTTTGAAAACAGATTTTTCTTAATAGTCAAAATTAATCATTCTGCCTCTTTTAGGAAACACTGTGGTTAACTCCATAAGCTGAATGCTTCTACTAAAAAACAAATGACATGTGTTCTTAGCTCTTAAATTTTATACTGGGACTTGATGGGAATAAGATACTTACTTCAGTATCTTCATATAGCATCTTGAAACTCAAAACTCATCCCCAATCAATAAGATGTGTTGCCATCTATATTGAAATATACATTTAGAATGATGTAGAAATAGAAAACAAATTGAAGTATTTAAGAAGTTCCACAGTGTCTCTTATAGATGGTTTTGACTGGAAAAGTTCCACCCTTACCTCCAGAATGTTCTATGATAATAGTTTCTCCTGGATTAAAGATGATACAGGTTACGTTCTTGGCTCCGTACTGGAATACAGAAAGTGAACAATACACGTCACCGTTGTTCCTCAACTCCCTTTCCCCGGAGTGCTGGGAAGGGAAATCTGGAGTCTACGTATCTGGTTAGCTTAGGAGGTGATGAAATGTGTGGAAGGGGCTGTCTCTGAACATCTCAGAAGGACAGGTCACTGGGCTACCATGTTGCAACTTCAAAAGTTTCTGGGTAAAGGTAAGTAACAAACATTTAGGCTTATAGGATACGTAGTTCCCTGTGACACATCTGAAGGAAAAGAGAATGACAGGAAGAAATTGACAAATGGGACGAGTAACTAAAATAATACAGATGCAGACTTGGATGAAGAGAAAAAGGAGATCGCAGGACTCCCCAGTGTTAATTGCAGGACCTTGTTCATTTGAACATTTGAACATGGGTGCTCACATATTTGTAGAGCAAATGAATAATTACTCTCTCAACACTAGGAAATAGATGACAAATGCAGCGCTTCAGTTGTTTATTCTAACAATAATGATAATAGAATTCCTAACATCTTTGGTCAGCCTGATCCATTCAAAAATGTTCAAATGTTCCTTATCCAGTACACGATCTTTTTGGCTAACCTCAGAATCACGACAAATGTCAAAGATACCCAGCTTTGACTGACAGAGACAGCTATTGTGCTGGAAAGAATACTGGAGAAGAAATTATTAGACCCAGGATGTAGATGGGGATCAGTCACTTTCTAGTTGTTTGGCCTTAGACAAACTACAACCTCTGATTTGGTTTTCTCATCTGTGAAAATACGAACTCTGAAAATATCAGTAGCATCAGAAGCTGTAAAGTGTTTTGAAGAGCTTTGAAAATTGTGAAGGACTATACCAACATAAAGTATTAGAATTAATCCATCTTAAAATAATTCATTTTATCTTAGTTATTCAGTTAACGTCTCCACCAATCCTTTAGCTAGTAATCAGGAACAAAGAAGCTCTGTTTTATTGTGCCTACTGAGTGGCAGGCATTATAACAGCACTTTATAAATATACAACTTATATTATGTTACATATAATATATATATAATTTAATCCTTGAGCGATCCTATGATGTATATATTATTAACTTCACACTATAAGTGAGATGAAAGCTCAATAAGGCAAAGACCACACAGCTAAGTTTAGAACCCAAGCCTTCTTGATTCCAAAGCCCATATTATTTTTATTAAACCACAATGCTTCCAGTCATTCATTCTCTATTCATTTAAAGTCATATATTCCACAAATATCTATTTAAAACTTTCCATGTGTTAGAAAATACAAAGATGAAGAGCATCACCTTTACCTACCAAACGTCTAGTAAAAATAATGCCTAAGGTTGTGGTGTTTTGCAGCACATTTCCACATACGTAGGCCCAAGAGTCTTGCCCAAGTTCAACATGGATAGTCAGTAGTGAGTTGAATCTCTGGAGTTCAAACCCAGATCCTTTGGCTCTAAACTCTGGATCTTTTCATCACACCATGTTGCAAAGGAACATGGGGTGTGAGGATGTGCACGGCTCTAACCAGATACATGCATTTTCTTTCCTTCTTTCTCCAGACAGCAGCGACTCAAAACCTTTATCAAATCCGTCTGGATGTCAAAATAAATTAAATTTGTGTTCTTTATTACTTGCCTAGTATGAATCATCACTCACCTTGGGTAGCGAAAACAATAGCTGAGGAGAAGTTTGATTTATTTTATCCCCAGAGCTGGGTGCTACAAGTATATTCCTGATCCCCCTTATAGTAGCTCTTTTCATAGCTATTTGGCCACTTCCTTACGGCAAGTTTTCATTTTAATTCTTTTTATTTCAAAAAAAAAACCCTTGCCTTTTATTTTTAACTTGGACATAGAACAATCCATCTAGGAATAATACTCTACTCGTCAATGAATTGTAACTTGTTAAAACTGTAAACTGCAATTTAGCCAATATTCACTGTGAACCTGCCTTGTTCTTGGCATTGATAATAATAGTTAGCACTTATTTCATTTATTATGAGATGCATCATCTCATTTAAACCTCTCAACCAGCCTCTGAAGGCTTTATCCCCATTTGATGGATAGTAACCTGCCCAAGGTCACGCAAGTAGTAAGTGGTAGCATTCAGATTTGCTCTTAGCCACTACATTACTGAGTTGATAGCCATGATCCAATTTCCATTTAGCAAATTACTGTGCATTTATTCTGTTCACTCCAAGCAATATTTGTTGAGTATCTATGATGATAAGTCATCAAAATACTTAAGAGCTGATGAAAGAAGGTGGACACTTCATGAGATCATCTCAGTGCAATGCAATCGATGCTAGAGTAGAGGAGGCTGTGGAAACCAGAAGGGACACAAGGAACTGACTTAGAAAGAAGAGGTGATACCTCAGCTGAGTCCTGAAGACCAAGTAGGAGCTAGCCAGGAAAAGAGGAAAGGAAAAAAATGGAGATAAAGGATGTTACAGAGAGAGAAATAATGGAAGGATGAAAGAGACAGGCGAGAGATTTGAAAGAGCATGATACGTCCAGAGAATGAACTTAGTCTCCTGTGGCTGGGATACGGTACCCATGGGAGAGTAATGAGGATGAGGGCCAGGAGCCAGATGACCAAGGGCATAGATGCTAAGGGGGATTCATTGTTCCTGGGGCGCCTGCACTGTGATTTACAGAGGCCTGAGCAGATTCATAATATTAGTCAAAAAAGGTCAAAGTTTAGGTAGCCTTTTCCCTAGTTCTGCTAATTCAAAGAGATTTTTCCAAAGCATGGTATACATATGTATGCAAAAGTATCGCTTCCTGCTTGGCCCAGTAGAGCATCCAGGGGTGGGAGTAGGAGCCCCATCATCCCATTTCCTCATTAGCTGGCCACTTATTTTCCCTCCTGATGACATTACTGTCATTGCTAGAAAGAGCATTATTCGCTAGGAACTGAGGGACATCAATTAGTAACCCAAACAGAGCAGTCATCAGTCACAAAGTGTTCCTGGTCATTATTCACCTGGGCTGGGGCAAACTCTCTGATCTCAGGATGGCAGGGATGGTATTGAATGCCAGCCCTTGGGGCCTCCAATCCTCTGCCCTCCTGCCCTTTGTAAATAAGATTATTGCTGCCGCTACTGCCTGATTTGCCCAAAGAGATACAGAAATCCTTCAGGGAATAAATAGATAAGGACTAAGGGAGAGATTCCCTTGAAAGTGTCCAAACTCACCCAACCATACACCTGACCCAAATGTGATTACTTCATTCATATTGAATAACACAGACTGCTTTTCAATTAGGAAAAAACTGAAAACATCTTGGAGTTATGATGTGGGAAGGGAGTAAAGCTTTAAAATACTCTGGCATTAATCCTTTTCCAAATTAATTGCATATTTCACAGTTTTTGTAAAGATTTCACCATATATATATATACACTCACAAAATAAACATGAATAAATTTTGTGTCTTTTTAAGGGAGGGGGAGTTTGCCATACATTTTTTGATAGATTTTATTATTTGCACTTATAAACCTAACAATAATTTTTCTGGTTTGTGTCCCATTCAAATCTCTGATTATGCTAGAAAGGAACAGAGACCCTTTGGCCATTCAATTCAGCCTCTGATTGCTTGTCTTGTTAAATCCCAATCTTTCTAACCTGGGGGGCTGTGAGCAATTTGTCTTACTTGGTTATCCAATGTAAATATTTTCAAGTTTTAATCTCACCCCACTGATTGAGGAATTAGAGTTGTAAAATCTTAGAAAATGCACTCCACTTTCTAACAAAGGGAAAAATCCTATATATTTCAGCATTATTCACTGAAATTAGATAAATCCAAATATCCTTGGAATGATCCAAAATAGGTCACACTTACTGCCAAATGCCACTATCTCCAGGGGAGAGCCTCCAGGGAAGGAAGAGCAAGATGGGACATGTGGCTATCACAGTGAATATGGGTCAACAAAGATCTTGGCACAAGTCGCCCCTTTTCAAGGCTCCTCTGCAATGATGGGGGCATGTTTGCTTCCCCTAGAGCCCTAA